AAGACTCCTTAAGCTAATTCTACATGGAAGTTGTAATACTTTAACATTTATTACTGTATAAGCAATTTAAAGAATGCTTTAAAATAACACGATACTAGTAAATACAGGGTAGATGCTACTTAGTCATAGCTAAGTGTGGCTTTGCACCAGATCTAAGATGTGCAGATACACCCAATGTGGAAGATTCAAAAATGAACTATTTAATTTAACTTTCATTAGCAGCCAGATCTCCTAAGTTTTTTAAATGGCTGTTGATTAAAGTTCCCCCATCTCTTTCTGGAGTAGTCAGACCAGCTGGGAAGCCATTTCCTAGGTTTTCCTGGAGTTAGGGAGTTGAGGCATGCTTGCTAAAGTGTGTGATCCCCCCAGCCTCCCTGGGACAGTTAGTTCATCAGCAATGCGATCTGCTTTCACTGTGGAGGGGATTTCTATAGTGTTCTCAGTCATGAAAAGAAAGTGGTCAGAGGGAAAGACTTTCATAAAGAATGTTTTTCTGTGATGTAATCCCTTCTAAAACAGAAAATCACTTTATATAAAGTTCAATTAGGTCCAAATACAGTATAAATGGCCTCTGTAGAACAATTAGACTTCAAATACAGAACCGGCTGAATATTACATTATTTCCTACTGGACTCCCTGGTACTATGCCAAACATGTCTTGGCCGTGACCAAAGAAGAAAGAAGGCTTTCCTATTTTGGGGAGAAAAAGGAACATAACTGTGGGGGCTCTGGAAGGGTAGAGTTGTAATCTGGTGCTTTGCAGAAATTTTGGAAAATGAATGAAGCTCTTATAATTACAGCTCTATAGGTAGGGTCTACTTATACACTATGGGAACTTGATAATATACTGCTGTACAAACCCAGCCCTTGCCAATGCGACCTACTATTTATTTAGCAGCAACAGCGAATGAAAAGGTTTTGTTCGGAGATGCAAGGTTGGACACTAGATTTTATGTACAGAAAAAAAATTTATTTTGAAGGTAAAAAGACAAAAAAAGATAAGCTTTTTTACTTAAACAGAAAGGAAAAACCAATCATAGCTATTTAGAAAACAGGCCAAAACCTTTTCAACCCACTAAGCATGAATGAAGAAAGAATACTAGCCCTGGTCGGGTGGCTCAGCCGGTTGGAGCATCATCCCATACACCAAAAGGCTGCGGGTTCGATTCCCAGTCAGGGCACATACATAGGCCACAGGTTCTATCCCTGGTTGGGGAGTACAGGAGGCAACTGATGGATGTTTCTCTCTCACATCGATGCTCCTCTCTCTCTCTCTCTCTCTCTCTCAATCAATCAATCAATCAAAAACCAAAAACCATATCCTTGGGTGAGGATATACTAAAAGGGAGAAAATTAGTAAGCTGCCATGTTAGTCCAAGAAGCCTAACAGGCGTTTGCTGTTAAGCGACAGCTACCGAAACAATGCAGTAAATCCTGACATATTACAGAACCCAAACAAATAAAACAAAACTATTCCACAAATAAAATGAGGTTTCATTTTAACTTTTCAGAATCTGTTATGGCTGCTGCTTTTTTCCAAAGGACTGAGATAGCTCGGACCCCAGCTGCTACTATTTTATCTAACAATAGACTGTGTGGAGATGTGTCGCTTCTGGAGAGGCTATTCATTTCACCTAAACGCACAGCTTAAGCCTTAGAAGATAGCTTGATTACCTCTGAGCCGCATGCAAAGACTAAATACAGCACTTGTGCCTGACTCTGATGGTATCTTATATCCAAAGACTCCCTTAATTATAGCTCTTGCTTCTCAAGCCGCTCTTTCAACTTGTCAGAAGCTGCCTAAACTAACTAAAATTGGATTCCTGAAGAAAAAATATATTTTAGGGTAACATGTGCACCAAGCACCTAAGCATCTGTTAACGTTAAAACCGGAAGGCACACAGAAGAACAGGCTGTAAAACGTAATAATTCACAACATTCACTTTGAAACATCATGGTGATCTTTTAAAGCAACACACCACAACCGCCAACCATTCCTCTGGCCAACAGATATTTATTGAGCGTCTCTGTACCAGGCACTAGGCTGGGTGCTGAGGATATAGAGCAAACCGGACATATAAAGTTCTAGAGGTCTGGATGGTTTCTAAGGCTGAAAAGCAGAGAGAAAGTAAGGTCATCCTTTGACTTTTTCCATTAGAGGCAGCCACCCCCAAACTCCTACTCCAGTTAGGAGTTTTCGTGTTGGTCAACTGTGATATTCATGGGAAACTGCTTCTTGGGGTCCTAGTACAAGTAGCAGAAGACCCTCAGGCGAGTCTGTTTAATGCACGTGGCTACACTACTACAGGTTTATAAATTCTGATTGCTGTTTATAATATCGTGCTTCTGGAAATGCTGAGTTCTAAAGCAGGTCACCACGAACAGAGTTCTTCTGGTTCAGCCCAGGCAGCAAGCAAAACTGCCAGTTCTAAGCTGATGACTCCTACAGCGAGGAGAGCAGGGGGTCTCAAGGAACCAGGGCACGGAAGGACGTGGGAAGATCAACAGGCATTAGTGAGGACTAGGAGCTGGCTGGAGCTTCCCCAGTCCCTTTCCTTCTCTCCTCAGTGATCAGATAAACATGGGCTAAGAAATGGAGGGTGTCCTGGGTTTCAGCAGGTCAGAACTACTGGTAACAGTGGGTGGGGTTGAGAGAAATAGAATAGTGTTCAGGGAAAGGAAGAGAATCAGCAGTCGTGTCAAGGGGAAGACCTGTGGATGTGACAGAAGTGAGTCACCACCCAGAGGGAACAATGATATGTGTAATATATGTTGGCAGGGGAGTCATTAAAAAGTTAGGCATTGTTGAGGGTATCAAGGGACATCCATCCAAATGATTAGTGACCACTCCTGTTCCTTGGAAATGGGGAATGTGATATGCACCGGCAGAATATAAATAAAGGGAAAGAAGAACTGAATCCTACACTATTGAGTATCTGCAACGCCATGGCAACTGGAGTGTTACCCATTGTACTAGTTAGTAATCAGTGATTCTCCTTGCAGACAAGGAAGCTTCGCTCCAGACAAATGGAATGACCGGATGGAAGTCACACATCTATGCTCAACGGCATGATAGGCAGACTCAAAGAACTGTAAAATTATGTGCCTGGGCATGTGTCAAAGGCATACATGTGTGATTTTTGTTAAAACCACAGGGAAGTCATGGGAAGCAAGACTGAAGCAAGCAGGGAAAGGAGAGCCTGGCAGACCCTACCCCCCATCAGGAGGGAAGTGCCTCGTGTATCCCGGAGAAGTGAAACCCCTGGAGGTGACTTATCACACATCTCAAAGCTACAAGGGAAGGCACGTGAGCAACAGTTTCCAGTGAAAAACTGCCCCAAAGCATATTTAATTAGATGGAAATGTCAGTCTTTTTCAGCCAGCCTTAAATAACATAAATTTATGTCACTCTAACAGGTTTAGATTTCATTTTTATCACAATTGTAAGTTCAGAGTAACCCAAGAAAAGACTAGCCAGATATGAGTAAAGGAACACATCTGCTCTATTTCAGTGCAGGGAGGGAGAAAAGCTCAAGAACAGAAAAGATGCAGCCTTTTGTACGAACTCCAGGGAGCTGGTTACTTAGGAAGCCGCCAATTCTCCAAGCCTCCTAGAGAGGCAAAGAGAAAATGATCTTTGTTCTATAAGAAAATATTCAACAAGGGAGCTTCGTATGAGCATACAATATAGTAACATAACACATAATATAAAGAGCTAGGGTAACTTTGAAAAAATGTAGTAAAGCACTTCATAAACCTAGTGGACTTTAGGATATACATCAATATAACCTCTAACTATAATTTTAAACTATAAAAATCTTCCTAGATATTTAGACAAAGTTACACTTGGCAGGGACGATGCTTTCTTCAGCACACTCAAGTCTCATTCTCTCTGACCATTTCCCCCTTCCTTCTGGGATGTCATCTTCCTACTACACAGACACCCTTGGGTTCTTCTCCCCCCACCCCGAAATCTCATCTCAGGACAGACTAGGAAACATCCTTACCAAGGTGTAACAATTTATGACACTTAAAAGGAATTATTCCCTACCCCACATATTTTTTTAAAAATTAGACTATTTTTTAAGAGTAGTTTTGGATTTATAGCAAAACTGGGTGGACAGTACAGTTAACACCTCTCCCCCCTTATACTTTAAAGGGTATCAAATACTGAAACAAAGTAAGAATTTTTAATCTGGGGTCTAGAGAATCCACGGATGGTTTTCATGGGGTCCTTGACCCCACAGATGCTATATCCCAAATTGCGGTATATGGGTGTATACATTTTTTTTTTAAATCCTCACCTGAAGGTATTTTTAAAATTGATTTTAGAGACTGAGGAGAAACATCGATTGGTTGGCTCCCACGTGCACCCTGACTGGGGATAGAAACTGAAACCTAGGTATGTGCCCTGATTGGGAATTGAACCTGCAGCCTTTGGTCTATGGGATGATGCTCCAACCAGCTGAGCCACCCGGCCAGGGCTGTGTATACATTTTTTAAGGAAGCAGGTCTTAGCAACCACTCCTGTTCCTTGGAAATGGGGAACGTGATATGCGCTGGCAGAATATAAAGGAAAAAGAAGAACTGAATCCTATGCTACTGAAGTATCTGCAATGCCATGGACGTTGTAGTGTTACACATCAGTACTAGTTAGTAATCAGTGATTCTCCTCAAAGACAAGGAAGCTTCGCGCCAGTCATCCCCTTCATCACGTTATCAAGGGGATCGCATTCACACAGCTAAGACTGCTAAGCTAGAGAATGAAGTTCAAGGTCCCGACATCTGGTAGAGAGACTGAAGAACTGTTTTGGGGACAAAAAGGCTTCACTGGTGTCCCAAAATCACATTACATAGGTAGCTGCCACTCCAGATATCAATAAGCATACCCAGGCCTCTAAACTTTAACAGGGCTATAGAAATACCCTGGTTAAATAAATTACAATCAATGTAACAACTTTCAAAACATATGATGATATCTCCTTTCCCCTCTAACATACCTTTAGAGCTTCTATAACAAGATCCCTGGCTTCGAGCTCTCCTTCAAGAATACTGAACAGTGTTAGGAGTTCAGGCTTGCTGAGTTTTTCCAGATTCATCCTGAAAGCCTAGAACAGAGACACAATCAGACAATCTCCAAAGACAGAGTTAATTTGATATGATCAAAGAAAAATAGAGACAGACAAGAATAGTAACTATTACAGCATAAAATGCTTTGAGAAAATAAAACTCACTTTATTGATTCCATCACTACTCACAAAGATCAATTTTACCATTTTCCCTCCAGGCATATTTGCAAGCATCCTAGATGGTCTCAGAATGAATTAATCACTAATTTTGTTCACTAGAAATTCAAGTAAAATGGTGTTACAATTAACAGTATTTCATCAAAAATTGTTACACCATAAAAAGATCTCCCACCTATAGATAACCAGGTTCAAAACCCATATATAAAACATTCTGACATCCCTCTGAAATTGGCTGAAATGAAATTTGAGCAATGATGTTTGGTTTGAGAAATTTTTCTTTTAAATTGTCTACTTTCAACAGAGACTATCATAATATTTATATTTTGTATAGCTAAATAATACTTAAATCTAACCATATGCAAAAATAATTTTAAATGACTTCTTAAAAATATATTGTTTTAAACATCTTAATTGGCCGGGCTACTGAATTTCACTTAAGCTCACATTTCTACAAGGATTTGCATCTTTTGAAATATGTTAAGTGGCAGATTTCATGGCACAAACTCTATCTTTTCCACAAGATTAATTTCTCACAAACCACACATTGATAGAAATTAGATGGCTGTTTTAGGGTCTTCGGGTCAACATTTATTGTAAAATACATTTTATAACTTCCAAAGTAAAGCAAATACTAATTTCCCTCTCCCACTTTTTACTTCCAAATTGCCACTCTCATGTAGTTTTCTGTAGAGTGAATCATGGCATTACTGGTTCACACACCCTCCAGTAATTCCCAGCTCTATGAGAACATCAAATTTTAGGAGGCACACAAAAGACTCATTGATTCCCTCCAGAGCTACTGCCTTCAGGTGAAGGGAAACATGGAGAAAACTCTTACTTCACTGTGTTGTTAGATTGTGTTTTGGGACATGCTGTACAAATCTTTTGTGACATGGTAAAATATGTTCAATGTAACTTCATCATTAAAGGGCTAATTTTCTAACTAGGGAGTTTTAGCGACTAGTAATTTTCACGTCAGTGTTAGACAGATATCTCACAGCAGTTGTTTTTAATTTATTTACTTTTAAAGATTAGTTCATTGATTTTTAGAGAGAAAGGGAGAGGGGGAGGGGAGGGAGGGGGGGAGAGAGAGAGAGAGAGAGAAATATCAATGTGAGAGAGAGAGAGAGAAAGAAACATCGATGTGAGAGCAGTAACATTGATCAGCTGCCTCCTGCAGGCCCCCTACCAGGTTTCAAACCCACAACCTGGGCATCATGTGCCCTGATCGGGAATCAAACTGGCAACCTTTCAGTGCACATGACAATACCCAGCCAAGTGAGCCACATTGGCCAGGGCTCACAGCAGTTATTTTTAAAAATAAGAACTAAAAAACAACAATAAACCTAATTAAGCTAAACTTAACATAAATGGAATGTTGGAAAGAGCACGTGGCTTTGCAGTAAAATAGAGGCCAGGCCTGCATCTTCCTGGTTGTGTAACTTTGGGCAAGTTTTTTGATGGTCACTTTTCTTATCAGTGAATGGGGGATGATATCTAACTCAGAGCATTACTGTGGAGATTGCATTAATAAACATAGGACACATTGCCAAGTGCCTGAAAGAAGCTGAAGAATGGTTTAATTATTAACAACTTCTATCCTCTCTCATTTTCCAAAGGAATTCAAAAAGAGGTACTATCAAAATTGGGGGCAGCCAAGATCAATGACCTCAGAAATACCTTCCAGGGCCCTTTGTAAAAAAAAAAAAAAAAAAAAAAGGGTGCCAGCATCCTGAGTGAAGGATGGGGAGGAACTAAACTGCCTGCCGAGTCACCTGGTTTGTTAGATGAAACCCACCCCCTTCCTGCCAGTTTCATCTTTTTACCTCCCAGGGAGATAGAAGGCAGAGGAAAAATTCTTTCATTTCTCTCCCCTCCCACAATGTTAACAGGATAATGGACACTGCTAAAGGGACCCCATAATACTGACTACACTAAGGTCAACTGGATGTGTAAATGCCAAGATAGGAACGTAGGAAGAGAGCCCAAAACAACAGTGCTCCCACACATCATTCTTCTTCAATATTCTACAGCCCTTAAATATTCTCATTGAGCGGTCCAAAGCTGTGGCTTACGGAAGCAGTGGGGTACGAGTAAGGCAGACAGGAGTGACAAGTGTGGACTACTCTGCCACTGACAGCTACCCAGCCGTGAGGGAAAAAACGACCCAGCTGCTCTGGCACTGTTCCCTCGCTGGGAAGTGAGGCAGACTCGGTAATCTCTCAAGTCCTCCCTGGTTCCATTCTAAGTCTCTATGGGTGAAATTCAAGAAGTTGTTGTTAGAGAATCCAGTGAAATAAGATAAATACACGGGTGGGCAAACGTAGGTTTACAGTTGTAATACAAGTAAATAATACAATAGTTGATAAATAATAACACAGGGATAAACTCTTGTGTTTCGAGCACTCAAGACTGTAAACCTATTTTTGCCCACCCCTGTGTATAAAGAACTAAAACAGATTGCACCTAAATGCAAGTTTTTCATCTGTTGTGACAAATATACATCCTCACAAAAGAGTAAAAGCGAAATAATCTTCAGGGTCACTTTAATTACAGAGCAGCAGTCCAGCCTAGGCAAGAAAAAAGCCTACTCTTTGTCAATGGCATAAAGAACAACATTCCTGTTACCTCTACGTAAGTCGCTCCTGCACACAAAGGTTAACATGTGGAACGTTTTGCTAATAGATACCAACCCACACAGCTTAGCATCTGTGTAAGGTAACTACAAAACAAATATGCCACAGGAGAAAAGAAAGGGCCACGGCGCTGTAGTAATTCAAAACCCAACAGCTCTGCGTTTGCATATTCCAATAACCTTTCTTTATAAATATTAAAATTTAGAACGTCTTTGCTTTTCTATACGTTTGAATCTAATCTCAATACACGAGATAATAAAATACATTTTTGAATGAAATACAAATGAACAGTAAAATTGCATTATGCTTTAGGATGGCAGGGATGCTGCTGGGGCTGGGAGCAGGGCTGGGGAGAATGGGGGGGATACTGACCTGATAACTGGCAGTCACACTTCAGTCCTCGGGTATAAACGCTTCCAGTTTTCTTCAGTTAAAATTTGGGGAAATAGACAATATATTTAAAATGCCGTCAACATGGTGAAAAAGTGTCCAATGCTGCAAAATAATAAGAAATTTACTGCCTCTGTGACCACACTATAAGCAGTTTCTAAGTCTCATGAATGTCAACTGTGTCGTGAGGATGATGAGGCCTGACAGCTGTAGGTTGACTCGAACAACAAAGGGGAAAAGAGCCACTTCCTCAGCTGAAGCTGAGTAGAGACTGGGGACCCGACTTCCCTTTGCAGTTACAATTAGGGAAGGCGAGGGCTTTCGAATCCTTCTTACTTCAAGATGTCCCCTGCCATTTCAAGGGCTAACTTATGACAAAGCCTATCTGCTTGAGTCACTCTAACTTATGCACGACGGACTCAGAAAAATAAGCATAACCGAATTTTTCAAACTGCCCATTTCGTGAGAGGAAAATTCTCATCCCCCTCACCTCCTGCCAACCAACCAACCAACCAACCAACCAACCAACCAACCAACCAACCTGCCACCATCTGGACTTTGTCTGTAAGGCTGGTGACTCATCCCAAGCTTCCCCATTTATCCACTCACTTTCAAATGTTAAATATTAAATTATACACAAGATGTTTTTTATGCCGTCCTAACAGTGTACTAGACCCAGCAAACTTAAAAACTGATAGTTTTCAATTTTATTTGATAGAATGTAATTTTTGTCTTGTATGTTAAGGCACGAGGCCTGAAGGCCTAGCTGAGTCGCCGAAACGCAAGTCACATAGGGACAGTGCCATCGCAGGAGTAAGGAGCAATAAACGCTTGTGTCTTTCAGCCAAGAACCAGCCGCTAACCTAATTCCGTCTCCTTTTGGGAGAGCAGTGAGTTTGTAGTGCAGTCGGTAACAAGAGTATAGAGCCATCACAGAGGGGAGCCGCTAAATTCGTCCCACCAAAAGTTTCTGCCCAACACATAAATGATGCAGCCCAAGATTTTCAGAAAAGGCTGTTTCTAACGCCGCATCATCAGCAGATACACACGGCCAGATTTTTGGCATGCTATGCTGTAGTCCACAGACTCATCCCGGACTCGTTTTCTAAATGAGCTGTTACTTGTCACTGTCATCATGCATTAAGCAGCTTTGAAAGACAAGATCATTTCGACCAGATGCTCAGTTCATTCCTTCCATTAGAATCCGAGACCGAACTTTCCCTTTCCTTCGAGTTTAGACACAGATATTTCTGTCTAAGGAATGCTACAGTCTATAAATCTGAAAGAAAGACCACTTGCGGACAAGCTGTCTGGATACACTATTATACACTGGGCTACAGCTAGCTGTAGCTATATTAAGCTTCATAGTTTTCTCAATGAAAAAATATATATAAATATGTAACAGAATAAGTCAGAGTTATAGCTATTTTAATATCCTGGAAAATTAGCCTATTAAGGGGCTAAGTGTGAAACTTATTTTTAAGTTATCAATAAGTGATTTCGAACATGAGCGTGCCCAGCATACTACTCGGTCTATTCACATGCTACCGCCCACAAGTCAGGGCCAATAGCCAGGAGAGCACAATTGTCTTCTCTACCAACTTCCATGTGCCAAAAGTCACAAGAGTTATGGGCATGGAGAATGCCTCCCCCAGCCCCCGAGGGCCTTTCTAAACGACAGTGCTGACATAGCCCTGGAAGTATGTTGTGGCCTGGGCTCTGTTCATTTTAGTTTGCCCTGTTACTTCTCTGGTAATACTCAGGCCTCACTCATTCTGGTCCTGGCTGCGCCTATTCCTTCTTAGGAAGTCCCTGCTCTTGTTCTGGAACTCTGAATTAATTCCATGGGATAGCAGGCTCTGTCACCTTTTTACCACATAGAAATTGGGTGGCAAAAGAAGAAACACCCCAAACAGCTTCTATAGCTATGTAAGCAGTGGGCAGGGCAGGGTGGAGTGCAAGTAAGATGTTTGTCTATCTAGTATCTGGGTGTGTGTATGTTTTCATGTGGAACTAAAGGCTTTATTTCTAAGTGGAGGGTGACATGGGACGTGAAAGAGGGAAAATGACATTTTTCAGGAAATCTTAGATTATTTCCTGATATAGAAACACCTAAGAGAATCTGCATATATATACTAGGTCAACTTGGCTAGTATAAAAACAAATCAGTTGTCTTATGCAGATCACTCTTGCGAAACTAGATAAAAATCGCTTTAATATGCTCGGACATCAAATTTAAGGAACTTATACTTGAGCTACAACTTAGATGCAAGCCATTCAGTAAGTTTTAGCATCAGTGATAAGATATGAGCAAAGATAAAGCAAACGTGCTCCAACTATGTAAAGACTTTCACATACATATAAGCAAAACCAAAATGTGGGAGGCCACAGTTAATTCTTAAAATTCAGAGCCAACACTAACATACAAAAGAGGGTTTCTGACAGCTTTCCAGTAGATAATGTACTTCCTTAGAAACCCAGTATATATGCAATTTTAAAAAAGAAAGTAAATGTGTCACCTTCACAAATACTAAATCTAAATATAGACAAAAATGCACTGCTGTTTTAAAAAATGGATCCAAAGCAACACCCCATCTGAGGGTGGGGGAGGTGACACGTTCCCTTGACTCTCTCAAAAGATCTGCTTCCCCACCCTCTGGTGCTTCCGGTTTTCAGAAGGTTATTTATGTATTTGGGGGTAAAAGAGTAACAACATTCTAAATTGTACCTATCATTCCACTTTTGGCATTTTTGGATTATGCTAGGGAAAAATACATGTCAAAGTACTACCAAAAAATTAATTTTCTGATCAAGAAAGCATATCTTTTGTACATTTACTAAAGGAAGCTGTTTTTGCTATTACTTACAAAGGTTCTAAACTACCGTATAAAAGCGAATCTCATTTTACTGAATTCTCCAATAGTAGGTTAAGCAATGTAAGCTTTTACTACAAATGTCAAATCAATCCTCTTTCAGTTCAAAATACATCACTGGACTACTTGGATCTTTATGTGACTACATGTTACAACCTATGTTATGGGCTGAACTGTGTCCTTCCCCCAAATTCCTATGTTGCAGTCCTAATCCCCAACACCTCAGACTGTGACTGCATTGGGAGACAGGCTCTTTAAAGAGCTAGTTAAGCTAAAATGAGGTCATTAGGATGGTCCCTAATCTCATCTGACTGGTGTCTTTATAAGACAAAATTTGGGTGCAAGCACAGGACAGGGAAATACCATGTGAAGACAGAAAAAACACAGCTATCTACAAGCTAAAGAGAGAAACCTAAGCAGCAACCAATCTGGAGGATTGTGAGATCATTAATTTCTGTTGTTTAAGCCACCGGGTCTGTGGTACTTTGTTATGGCAGCCCAAGCAAACTACTAATACAACATGCTAGCCATTTACAACTGTAAAGACTGTTAGAGGAACTAGGTCCTATCCTTCCCCTTACCGTGAGTTTTGCAGAATGCCTTGCTTTGTCTTATCAGTCTCCTTTCCCACCCACACTACAGACAGCTTTATAGAAAACAGAATGGCTTTGAACAGTTTTAGAGACTAAATTTCAGGACTCTGAAATATAATACGAAAAGAGCACTTACAAAGAAACTACAGCAGTCTTAAGGGAGTGAGATGCTTGTTTATCCAACACTGTTGATACAGACTTTGAAGTGGGCCTCAAGAAACCAGTTCTGAGACAAAGCTACCACTTTTTAAGGTCAACATATAAAATACCTTCAGTAGTCTGCTCAAATACATGGTACTGTGCCCTATTCAAAGCAGGTTCTCGGACACCAGATTTTCTGGATTTATGCTTAGTATAGGAATTACTAATGATATAATTGAGCTTATCAACATTAATCACCACCACCTCAAAGTTTTATAGCACAGTTTTCTAAGAATTCAAGCAATAATAGTAATAGTGAAAAAGATATACATTTATTGAGCTAAATAAACATTAAGGTGTTCCAGGCAGTGTTCTAAGTATTTGACATGTGTTAATTCAATTCTCACAACCATCTGAGGTGATAGATGGCCTAACCCACTTAGGAAGTCATCATCACCCCCATTTTACAGATGGGAAACCTCAGGCACAGAAGCTAACCAAACTTGCTCAGTTTCACACCTGGCATGTGATTTAAATGGGATTTGAACCTAGGTAATTTGATTCCAGAGGCTTCCTTACACCCCTGCTCCTCGGTAACCACTGTTCACATCTGACCTGCTCATTTTATCAGCTTTTAGGAAGTGCGTGGTGGAAAAACCTCAGCTCACATGTGATTCACAAAGCTGGAAGGGACCTCAGAGAGAATCTAATTCAGCACTGTCATTTTATCAGTGAAAATGGAGGCCAGAGATAAGTTAATTTTCTGAAGAATACAGTTAAATAGCACAACTAGGTCTAACACTCATGTCTTTTTAAGATCCAGTCTAACCCAATTTCTGGGACACCATGATGGATGTCGGGTTTTTGTTTTGTTTAGCTGTTTTCAGACTGATGCATCTCCGGTGTATCTCTGTGTATCAATGCCTGTCTCTTTCTCTCACGGTGCGTGTACATCTGTTTCTCCCACTGTCTCTGTTGCCAACAGGATTTATATGTATATTGAAGAAGAGAAGGAAGTGGCCTCATGCTCGTAAACAAGCATTCAAACATCTCTCCCCAAAAATGAGGACATTTAGCACAACGCTGTTAAAAACAGGTCTGTCTGCCTGGATATCTGTTTATACCCTTTCAAGTATTTTCACCAGACAAGACCAAACCAGAAGAACTACATTAGGTAAGCTACTGGAATGTATGTTAATGAAAATGAATAAAAGTTTTTATGTTAAGATGTGTTTTTTTCATTAAAATAAAAAAAGATATGTCTTTTAACATCAGAAAATTACCCGAAATATGGACCATTTCAAGTCTATTTGTCAGGTGGATTAATTTAAACGAAATAACATGATTTCATTGAAATTTATCAGTCTGTCTATATTATCTACTAGTCCATCATTCCCCTAACTTTTTGCTTTGCTGATATAATGCCGTGATGATTTGTAAAATACCACAGGGAGGGAAGAACAAGTAGGTTAATTTTACTTCTAGTAAAATGATTCATGGGCTGAGAGGCAGCCTGGAATATAAACACTCTTCAAATGTGATTGTAGGATGCAGTTGTTGGCTCCACCAGGATTCCAAGCTCGGAAGAGAAAGAGCATGTGGTGTGGACAACGAACCATGGGCAATCAAGGTATCTGTGATTTGGCTGTGCCCCTAACCTGACCCTCCCTGAACTGCAAATTTCACAAAACGCCTCTAACAGATGATGCCGTTTTGCTTTTTAAATTTTGTCTTCTAAACCAGATCACTGATTTTTTTTAAAAAGTTTTAACAACTTGGTATCAGTTGAAAATTACCCACAACAGACCTAGCAACTGTTTTTGCTCCAAGGTTCTTTGGGGACAGTAATGCTCCTGGGAGGCAGTGTTGTAGTGGAAAGCCCAGGGACTCTGGAGCCTAGCACACCTAGGTCTGCGTCCTGGCTCAGCCACTTCACTGTTCCTTGATCCACTTAAGCTCTGAGCTTCAAGTTCCTCATCCAGAAGATGGGCATAACAATAATCTAAGAGAGCACTAAGTGGTTCATGTGAGTTAGCGACTGGGCAGTTTTCTCATCCCTGGAGAACATGTATTTGGTTTCATCATCATTTTCTATCACTCACGTGTCGAATTTAGAAATCAAAAGAAATTGACTCCTTCTGACCTGATAGTTCCAAGGTGATGGCCTGGCCAGTTCCTGGGAAAACAGGCTTGGGGGAAAGCACACTACTAGTTTGGCCAGCAGAATCTGGATACTGCTTGAGAGGAAGGAAGGACAGTCCTCTGCTAGATTGATTTTACGTGACTTTGGCATATGGGCACAAAGCACACCTTTGCTCCTGCTGAATTTTTACAGCTTTTAATCAAGTCACAATTTTAAATTGTAATGACTGAGAAATGGGTTTTCTAAAAATATCATAGCTTTTTTTTTACATTATGTCAAATGCATAGGTATGTATCTATATTCATATATGTAATAGCTATGTGTCTATATTCATAACCCAGGAGCAGTTATCACATTTGATTCTGTCATTTCACCTGCTGATATATCTGCCTTCTGTTTCACAAATACAGAAGAACTGATATATCTGCTCTTCTGCACAAATACTCTGCCTTATTCAACTTATTTAACTTAGCACCCAGCAGCCTGGTTCAGAGGCATACTCAAAAACTGCACATTGGGTCCTGGCCAGTGTTGCTCAGTGTTGAGTGTTGGCCTGTGCACTGGAGGGTGACAGGTTCAATTCCCGGTCACGGGAATGTACCTGGGTTGCAGGATTGAACCCCACCTCTCATTGGGGCGCATGTGGGAGGCAACCAATTGATGTGGCTCTCTCACATTGTTGTTTCTCTCTCTCCTCCTGCCCCCACCCTTCCACTCTGTCTAAAAATCAATGGAAAAAATATCCTCGGGTGAGGCTTCAAAAAAAAAAAAAAATGCAGGTTGGAAAGAAATGTATACTATGGCACCCTGGATGACAGCCATCAACATTGGACTTTATCTTCTAGAAAATGAGACTCGACTAATCATGTTTAACCAGGTGAAGGTTAAGGCTTGAGGCACACAGCTGACTGAAGGCAAACTGGAAGCAGAAGGGGCAATCGGGAGAAAACTTTCCCAGGATAGATCTGAAGCAAAAATGAGTGGGCTAGCATGGCGGCAGGAAGAATGACTGATGCAAGAGACTACAGAGAATTTACAGGAATTTGGTTCTAGTTCCATTTAAGGAGGCAAGAAGGGGAATTATCCCAGGTCAGCTGAGTTGTTTTAAGACTGGGTGACTAAAATGATGATGCCATGAGCAGAAACAGGGATGTTAGAAAGGGAACTGGTGGTAGGGGGAAATGATGACTGAAATGTGAGACATGCTGGATGAGAAGTAATCGGACCCCAAGGGGAATGTGTGAGGAGTCAGTGTGGTGAAGGCTTAAGGTCTGGAGAAGTCTGTAGGGCTAGAACCTTTTCAGAAGATGTCTGTACCTTCAATTTAAGAACAGAAGGCAACAGGAAGAAGCTAATGCACAGAAGTAACTGGATCATTTCTGTTCCCTCAAATATTAAACCAGTGAAGAGCCAGATTGGTTCTGTTCTCAATCCTCCATGACGTGCTGCACAGAAAGGACTGCTAAACAGACACCAAGAAGGCCCCCCTCCCACCAAAGCAGCAGTTAGTGCTTCTCTCTTTCCTATGGTCTTTTCTCTTTTTCTCTCTCCTTTATAACTTACAGATCTTAACTCTTGTTGAAATAATTCACCCCCACTTCTGCCCCCTTCCGCTCTCCTCCTCTTGGCTCTCGCCTCCTAAGGAGAGCAGGCCCAGAGCACACATGGCCGAGCCTTCCCCAGCAGCTTTCCACAAAGGACCTAAGCAGATGCTCCCAGGATTAGGGTCTGGAGTCTTTTTTGTCTGCAAACCCCCTCATCCTGGGTTCTACCTTCCTTTCTGGTTTCTATTGAACTCCGTAACAATAGTAACAATTAAGGATTACGTTCTTTGTGGTTCCAGAAACCAGGAAGGATTCCTTTAGCAGGGAATGACACACTTAGATTGGAACCTCTGGCTTCCTACCTGAAATACAGTTGGGAAACACTTGGCAGGGAGGAGCCATCTACCGCGTTCTTTACATCACTGCCTGCTCGGCAGGCAGTTGGGTTTTCCTCCCCCACCTCCACTCCTAACTCCTCCGCTGTGGCTTCTTCTCACATGTTTTGGTTGTTCGGATCACTGCTCCTTACTTTGGGGGCAGCAGGGGAGTTGTCTTCAAAAGGCAAAAATCACTTTTAATCAAAATTACCATTGAAAAGCCCTTAAATCTCACAGAAGGTACAGTATCCACAAAACCATTTCTGTCACTCAGGACAGAGGTACTTAAGACAGTAGAGTCTGGAGTGCAATAAGGGCAATTCAGAGACAAGACTTCAGATGGCTGAATCCCTTGCCTTTTTTGGGGGGCCCCCAAAATTCAAGAGGATAATTTGCATAACAAAATTATGAAACACTATAAGACAGACACATACACTCCTAAAAATCCTTGCATCGCATGTCTGAGATCATGACACATGTACAAGCTTAGGAATCTCAGCTATACATCAAAGAATTTAAAACAAAACCAACCAATAACTAAAACCAGACACTAATTCTTCACCATTGCTAGCATGCTAAAGAAGTAAAAAACATTTAATATAAAATTCTTTAACATGCATGCTAAGTGCTAACAATAATGACAATAATACCTACCAATTACTGAGGGCTTCCTCCATGCCAGGTACTTGCTTAGTGACCTATATCTTTATCTGTATCTGTATCTATATCTATATATCTCCTATGTCACAGCTGAGGAAACCGGGATATATGGTGAAGACAGAAAACTGCTCTCTCCCTGGCTCACACAGTGAGAGGCGCAGAACTGTGTTATGAATCCAGGTTTTGTCTTAAAAACCTGTGCTGCAAATTACCACTCTATAGCCTCACAGTAAATGTCATTTTTCTCACTGAAATGCTTTGAACTGAAATTTGGAAGACTTGTTTTTTAGCTATTGGCAGCAAACATTCAGGAAATAAGAAAAAAAAAAAGGATTTTAGAAACAGGCTGACAAGCCATTCCTAGGGTCAACCACCAACAGACTGGACCAATTTCCTCTAGAAAGAACTCTGCTTCTCATCTCACTCCACCAACACCATTTCAATGACAACCCCTAGAAACACCGTGCTGCTCCACTCAGAAAAGGCAAGAATTCCAGTCCTGTTCTGCTAGTTCACTGGTAGTTCTGCAAACCAGAATCTGCCGAGATGCAAACCTGGGGAGGACTGGGCACACTGATGACTCCATTCAGGGACCCAACACTGCTTGGTGCTAGTTCAGAAAAGCACAAAACAACTAAAAATCCATTTTAAAAATCCCAAAGTAGATCAGTAACTTGTGGAAACCAAACACTCAAACCATTCTTAACAAAAATCAGCAATCAATTCCTAGTGCGCTCTCCTAAATTCCCTTCATTCCTCTGGAGTCAGATTCTTAGGAAAATCAAATCCTACAAGGACTGGCACTGATTACATTAATACTTCTGGTTCAGATTTCATTATAGCAAAATTATATATCTAACCAGCAGCTATTTTCTTATAGGAAATTCAGTATTTGAGAGTCACTTAAGATACTGGAGTTTAATAAGACATTAGATAGGGAAAATATAGTTAAGTCAAGACAAAACGTGGATTGTTTATACTAACAAGATGGGCCATATCTTATCAGTAACATTACCTTTCCAGACTACCCTAAGGTGGCAGCTTCAAACTAAGTTTAACAAACACTCATTACGTCAAACTACATACCAGGCACTGTGAAAAATACAAAGATGAAACAAACAAACAAACAAAAAAAAACCAGACAAAACAAACACATACTACCTGCTCTCAAAGAATTTATAATTTAATGAGGTAGATTAGACATATACATACAAATTCTCTGCATACAATGCTTTTCTTCATCTACTATGATCAAACAATGCTGAGAAAGTTAAAGGAAAAATTTCCAAGACCCAGGCGAGTATCAGACTGGTCTTGCATGATCTGCTTTTTCCTCCCTGCTCATTAAGGCCCTGGCAATCACCACTACTTTGGTTTCCTGAGTCTCTTACCTTAGTTTATTTTCTGTTCTCTGCTCATGTAACAAGATCTATCTTTTTGGGATTTCCTGTCCTGCGTTTAGTTTTTTTCTCCTGCTATTGCTGGGGGCCCAGTCTTACCCTCCTACAGCAGTACACTCCGTGTTTGCTGGAAGGACCCTCCACACAGTTTCTTCTTTGTGTTTTTATTGGAGATCTGGAAACAATCACAGAGAGTGGCTCTGAAAACTTGGAACCTAACTATTCAAAAGTAATTACCTTCAGGAAGTCTACTTTTAGAAAGTTTAATCAGGAAGGTAAAAGAGGGCCATTCTAATCACCCTCTGCGATTCCAGCTCCTTGCATCTCGCTGCCCTGAGCTTTAGCCGTAGGTAACAGTAGTAAGATGGACTGCAGATTGAAAGCAAGAGACAAGCTGAAAACAGGGCAAACTGTGTACTACAAGGGAGTGCCAGCAATAGGTGACTCCTAGGGGTCCAATGGCATTCGCATGAGGCCAAAATCGTCAACATTTTGCACCCGCTGAAATGAAGGTGAGCTTGACAAAGCCTTCACGAGCACACGACAGACCCTGTGCGGCAGTCGCACGCCTGCGACAACAGCTGGAGCTGACTGTGTTTCATGTAGCCTTACCTCTGAGATTTAAGACGATACCAGTCTTGTAAAAACAATAACATCACTTATGTGTCAGTGTCTCGTGGAGAGAAAAAAAACCCCACCATAAAAGAGGGGCTCTAAGAGGAACCCAAAGGCCACGGGCCCAGACTGAGCCTAAACCTAGACGGCTGAACCTGAATTTTCTTCAGGCGCTTCCCGCCTTTTGTTCCCAGAGGGCTGTGCCTTCGGGGTTAGCGGCAGCCCCCCGGGCAGCGCGGCAGCCCCCCGCCGGCGGGGAGACACGCTCCCGCCGCGACGCTCTCCGCTTACGCTCTTTTTTGACGCATCACGGCCGCTGCGTCCGGGAGCGCGCCGACCGTCAAACAATACACGCCGCGCGCCCGCCCACGCAGGGCCGGCTCGGCGGACCCCGGCGCCCGCCCCCCTGGAAGTGGAAGGCACAGCCTTCCCCCAAGTTTTCAGGGAAGTCACAGGCTGGGCAGCGACCATGAAATCACAGCTCAAACCTAAAAATCCCTCAGAAGCTGGGTTCTCCCCCGAGGAACACGGGGAAGGTACAAAGGGGGACGCGGGGGTGCGGAGTCACTATTTCTCCTTCCTCCAGAGTCTAAAATAAAGTCCGGCCGCGGCTGAGCTCCCGGCCCCACTGGGGAGCAGGCCTCGAGGGGAGTCGGGAGGCAGGCTGGGCGTCGGGGCCTGGGGGACGGGAAGAAGCGAGTGGGGGAGGCCGCCCCGTCCCAGGAGCTGGCCGCCGGACCCGGTCTTTGATGTTTGCTTCGCCCCATCCCTCTTTTTTGGAAAGCACTGTTGTTGTTTTTTTCTAACGGATGAAACCAGCTCTGGAGCCACCTCAGCGAGCGGGGGCAGGTGTGGGGATGGATGTCTGGTCTCCCAGGGGGACAACTTGGGGGTGGGGACGGCAGCCTAGAGACTGGGAGCCTGGGTGCCCTCCCCCCCAAGGCTGAGGCGCTGGGCAAAGGGGGCCTTTAAGCGCGAGGTGTCAGCAGGGGAGCCCCTTCTGCGGCGCTGGGATTGACGGGGACAACGAGTAGCTGCGAGGACCCCCGAAGGATGAGGAGCCGCCTCCTCGGGGAATACCGGGAGGTGGGAGACGGCCCCGCCCCCTCCGGGCGCAGGCGCGAGCGGCAGCCGGGGCGGTGGCGGGAGGGCCCCGGTGGTCCTAGCCTCGCCTCTCGCTCGGGAACACGGCCTCCCAACCTCCGCCGAGGCCCAGCCCTAGCTGCTCCTACCTTTTCCCGGCGCTTCGGGCTCCGCTCCCGGCCGCCTCCGCCGCCCGCTCCCATCCGCAGCCCTCTGAGGCCCCGCCCCTCAACCGCTAGCGGGGGCACTGGCATTCACCAGGGCCAATCAGCGCCTCGCTCCTCCGGCCCCGCGGCCAATCCGCTCCCGCTGGAGGCGGGGCTTCTCCAATGTCATCGAGGCTCCTCCCGGGGCCCCAAGATCCCTTTTGTTTGGGAAGAGCCAGACCGGGATGGAGGGCGCGTCACTTCCGGGAGGAAGCTTTTCTCCGGCCCTGGCCTGAGCTTGGGGGGTGGGCTCGCGCCTCCCGGGGCCCCGCTTCTGCCGCCTTC